GCAAGCCAACATTAGATATAATTATTAACCAATTTTAACAAGTTTCAAATATGATGTCAATAAAGGAAACTGAATAGTCTGAAACAAGGTAAATAAAATAATAAGTGCCTAAATCCAAATCCCGAATCTGGTGTCGCAAATACATGAGCGTCTAAGATACTAGAAATAATGGTCTGACATAAACATGATTGTCTGATCAAATGAACAGTTAAAAAAAGTAAAAGGGGACTTCAGAACTGCGGATGCTGCGTAGCTATACCTCAAGTCTCCTCTAGGTAGCTGGATTAGACCAAATCTACGGTACGCCGCTGGGACAAACTCTGGTATCTACACAAGAAGTGCGTAGTATAGTATGAGTACAACCGACCCCATGCACCATGTATGTGTCGACCCTAACCTCGACGAAGTAGTGACAAAGCTAAGGCGGGTTACTTACATTAACCTGTACGCAATAATAATAATAATAATAATAACAGAAAAGATGGAATAGAAGTAACGCAGGCAATTCATATCAACGGACTCAGAATCAACTAGCAGAGACTCCTAAATAACCAGTCATGTAACTCATCTCAACAACTGAGGCCAATCCAACAGTCACAAATAATTGTTACTTTTATCAATATGTTGCGGTGTGCAACCCGATCCCACAATATAAATTTTAAACAATCCATTGCAGCGCGAAACCCGATCCCACAATATAATTATCTGTCAACATCATAGCCCGTCCTTATTCCGCCTTTTCAATTTATTTTCTTTCAATTTCCATTGCGACGTGCAACCCACTCCCCAAACAAGTTCAGTTAAGAATAGTAACTCAATAATCAAGATTTACAAGTAACCATACATTACGAGACAAATGTACGAGCAAAGGAGAATAACACGACAACCAAAGAGACTCGTACTACTCGGATATGTCAGATTTAGCAACTCAATGGTATCTACCTTTTAACAATTCACAAAAGTGAAACTACATCAACGAAGGCAACAATTAATACGAAACTATAAGGCAACAAGGCATAAGACAATTAAGATATATGAGGGAAACAAATAGAGACAAGTAGTAAATAAATATGAAATCAGGGAGGGGATGAAGAATTTAATACAAGAAATGCTAAATGGCAAGTAGCAACTATGGCATGGAAGTCAAATACGCATGTAACAATTAAGGTATGAAATAAGATATACTATGAAGCAATGAAGATAGGAAAAGTAAGTAATGTAACTGTTAAGACATGGAATAAGGTAACCAATGAAATACGAGAAAGCAAGAAAATATGAAATTTGATGGTGTATATACACTCGTCACCTTACATATACACTGCTACACATGTAATTCACATAGCACATAGCTCAAGGGTTCCTATTCCCTCTAATCAAGGTTAAACCCAACACTTACCTCACTCCATAATCAACTCAAAGTTCAACCACGACCCTGCCTTTTAAACAAGCCTCCAAATCAACCAAATCAACCAAATTATTAATAAACGTTTCAAAATAAGCCTAAAAAACTACCCACGACTGAAAGAAGTTCAATTTAGATCATTATTGAAAAAGTCAACCCCATGTTCGCTTGGTCAAAACCAGAGATTCGGGCCAAAACCCGATCACCCCTCACCCCCGAGCCCGGTTATATAATTTATTTCGAAATCTGACCTCAATTCGAGGTCAAATTTCCAAATTTGTAAAAAATTCTAATTCTACCCAAATCCCTAATTTCTACCATGAAAATACTAGATTTGATGTTGAAATCTTATGAAATGTAATGGGTAATTGAAAAGAAGAAGATCAAAGTCACTTACCAATGTATTAAGGAAGAAAAATCTCTTGGAAAAATGGCCTCTATGATATTTAAGGTTGAGAGTTTGAAAGAAATAAGCTAAATCCCGTTTTTCCCTCTTTTATCCGGCTGTAGTTATTGCGAACACCCGGCCTCCACAATTGCGCACTCTTACTTCGCAAATGCGAAACTTGCTCGAGAACTGCTGAGTCGCAAATACGACTCTTGGATCGCAATTGCGGTCACTGTTAAGTCCGCCGATGCGGGTCCTGCCCAGCCAACCCATGTTCGCAAATGTGAAGTATCCTTCGCAAAAGTGAGGCTCGCATTTGCGAGCCATACCTCGCTTTACAAGTAACACCAGAAGCAAAGAAGCATCAGCTACTCCTCTAAGTCCAAAACCACTCCGTAGCCTTTTCGGAACTCACTCGAGCCCCTCGGGCTCCAAACCAAACATGCACAAAAGTGTAATAACATCATACGAACTTGCTCACGCGATCAAAATACCAAAATAACACCTAGAACCACGAAGCGGACACCAAAATAAATGAAATTTTCAAAGAAACTTAAGAACTTTCCATTTTTCAATCGCACGCTCAAATCACGTCATATAACTCCATTTTGCACCAAATTTTGCAGATAAGTCATAAATACTGAAATGAACCTATACCAAGTTACGGAATCGTAACCTGAGCCCGTTAGCAACAAAGTCAACCTACGGTCAAGCTTAGGAATTCATTAAACCTTTAAACTTCTAGTTTTCAACAAATCACATTAAATCAAGTTAGGGACTTCTGACTTCGATTTCGGGCATACGCCTAAGTCCCAAATTATGATATGGACCCATCGGGGCCGTCAAAACACTGATCCGGATCCGTTTGTTCAAAATATTGACCGAAGTCAACTCAAATGTGTTTTAAAGCACAATTTCACATTTTCATCAATTTTTCACATAAAAACCTTCCGGAAAAAGACGCGGACTGTGCACGCAAATCGAAGATGGCTAAACGGGTCTAATCGAGGTTTCGAAACACAAAGGGCTAAAACTGAAAATGACCTATCGGGTCATCACAAATATAAATATATAAATAGTATATATGACATTTTATCATGCGTTTTTTTTGGGAAAAAGGTCAAAATTATCCCTCTACTATTGTTTATTGGTTGCTTGTGCCACCCGTTATACTTTTGGGCCATTCTTGTCCCTACCGTTAATGAACTTTGAATAAATACCCCTAACCCTAACGTCTATACACTGTGGTAGCTGACCACATGAATTTTATCCAAGTCAGCTGCCATGTCAGCTTCCACATCAGCGGGCCTACCAATTTAAAACCCCACAACACCCATTTACTATCCGTCTCTTACCCGTGACCTATGACCCGTTTGCCCACTAAATAAATAAGATAGACCCGTCCAAATTAGCAAAGAGTGTCATTTAGTCTTCATCACTTCGATAGAAACGAGAGAGAAGAGTGTGGAAGGTTTAAAAGAAAATTTGATTTTTTCAGTGTTGAATGCTGTCCAAGGTACGATTTTCCCCCAAAAGCTGAACTTTTCTACTAGTTTCATATGGTTGTTGTTTATAAATGAAGCATTTTTGTCTTAGGGTTCGTATTTCTTTTATGTTAAAGTTAGGGTTTTTAGACTATGCTTCGTGGTTTAGGGTTTTCTTGTCTCATATATGTGATTTGTCATTTAGGGTGTTTCTTGTCTAAGATATTGACTGGATTTTTGTCGTTGTTTGTGTTTGCATGTGACTTTCACCTTTATACCCTAATTATTTGTCTGATTCTACTGGTCGGTTAGGGTATATTGGTGGAATTGATGATAATTGGTACTTATTTTAGAAGACATTTCTCTTGTTTAGGATTCGAAGTATGTGTGGTCCCTTTTGTTTTTTTAAAGAAGGGTCGGTTAGGGTTTTTTAACTGAAAAAGGATTTGAGCTATTTGTTAATAGCTGACTTGTTGTTATTTGGTCCCATGTTTCAGCTGCATTTACTTTGAAGATGATACTCATGTGGGTCTCTTACATATATGTTTTGTCCTTATTTTATTGTGGTGGGACTCTAAGTTTGATAGTTTATTATGTGGTCCCCCATATACATGCTTGTGTCCCTTTCTTTATCGTAGTACCTCATTCAATTTTGTTTCTTTATTCATCTACCCCTGTACTTATTCCCTTTATTTATCAAACTGTTTTATTTATTCAAGCTTTCCTTTACATGTTTATTTATTATTTCTGTACATCTTGTCTTTTTTTACTTCTTTATGCATTTACTATGGTAGGCTGTAATAACTTTATTCATGGTTACTATGCAGCCTTTTATAGATGGTGCTAGTTGAGTTAGTTTTTCATCATGGTGGGGAATGGAGTAGTAAGTCACACCCACTCTATAAAGAGAAGTATGTGCACATCAATAAAGGTTTTGACTCTGACTTGCTCTGTTATGCTGATTTAGTTGATGAATTTGATACAAAGTTTGGGTATATAGGGGTGCAGCAATTAATAGTAAAGGGTCCTGGTGGTGGATATTATGAAATAGATGGGGATGTTGGGATTAGGACTCTATTGGACCTTGTTAATGGACAGTGCAATGTTATTAATTTGTTTGTTGTAGAAGACTGTGAACCTGCACTTGATGTACCTAATATAGCCACTCACAGTGAGTCACACATAGTAGAAGTTGAAGCTGCTACTGATTGTAGTGATAATGAAAGTGAGGAAAATAATTTTGCTACTGATTCTGATTCTCCTGAATTAAGTTCTGATGATTTGGAGCAACTTTTTTTACAAAAGAGGAGGGTCATAAATGATAAGTTAACTGACTATAAAGAGTTAGATAGGTCAATGACATTTAAAGATATACCTGAAGCTAGGAAAATGATCAACATGTATTCTCTTGCAAATGGGTATGACTTGCAGCAAGTTAAAAGTGACCCAACTAGGCTTAGGTACATCTGTGTTGGTGACTGCCCCTTTGTTTGCCATATATCTAAGGATTCTTCAGGGGGTGGGGTTAAATTCAAGACTTTAGAGCATGAGCACACATGTGAACCTGCATTTGAAAATCAAAGAGTTAATGCAAATACAATAGCTGATTACTTTTAAAAAAGGCTTGCAAGATAACCCCAAAATAAAGGTTAAAGAGATTAGGGCAAGCTTGAAAGATGCATTTAATATAAATGTTAGTGAATCTAAGTGCAAAAGGGCAAAGAGAATGATTTTGGAGAAACTTGAAGGTAGTTTTACAGATCAATATAATAAGCTTGTTGCCTATGCCAATGAATTGAAACTTAGCAATCCTGGGAGTGATGTCATAATTAACTTATCAAAAGATGCTCTTGAAGAAGGTAAAAGGAGATTTTTAAGGATGTATATTTGTTTTCAAGCAATGAAGTCTGGTTTTAAGAGTGGTTTGAGGCCTTTCATTGGATTGGATGGAACATTTTTGAAAGGGAAGGCTAAAGGTCAGCTGTTGGTGGCTGTTGGTCAAGATTCTGCCAATCATTTCTATCCATTGGCTTGGGCTATTGTTGACAAAGAAACAAAACTTACTTGGAAGTGGTTCTTAGGTTACCTACAGACTTCACTAGACCTGAAAATGGGTGAAGGGATCACATTTATATCATATATGCAGAAGGTATGTACTGTTTATTTGTACTGTTATTTTCAGTTATTTTGTTGATTTCTTTGTACTGTTATCTGATGTTATCTACTGTTTTTTGTAGGGGTTGATTGACTCAATCCAAACTGTTCTTCTAGAGTCACACTTTAGATTTTGTGTAAGACATATAGAAGCAAATTGGTGCAAGAGATGGGGCTCTGGTGAATTCAAAAAATTGCTTTGGTGGGCTGCATGCAGTACTTATGAAGAGGACTTCAAAGATCAGATAAAGAATATGAGTCAAGTAGATGATGATGGAAAGGAAGCTGTGAAGGATTTGTTGAAGTATCCACCAAAATGTTGGAGTAGGGCATTCTTTGATAGTGTTTGCAAGAACCAAGTTGTAGACAACAACTTGACTGAGTCATTCAATGCTTGGATCTTGCAAGCAAGGAACAAGCCAATCATTAAGATGCTTGAGGATATTAGAATCAAGGTGATGAATATGATTACTGAACATGAAGCTGAGGTGATGTCATGGGGAAATGAATACAGTCCTAAAACCATGGAGTTGTACAACCAATTCATGAGGATTGCATTGAAGTGTCATGTTAATGGCAGTGCAGCCCATGGATATGAGGTGACTGAAAGTAGTGACGGGCACATTGTGAATTTGATATTAAAGAAATGTACCCGCAAGGCATGGGATCTTTGTGGCATTCCATGTCCTCATGCAATATGTGCATTATTGCACAAGAAAGTGGACTAAGTCAGATTCATTGGTACCTTACCAAAGAGACTTATCTCCAAATTTACTCACGTAAGTTACAACCAGTAAGAGGAGAAAAGTTCTGAAAAATTGAACCTTCACAGTACATGGCTCCACCACCTTTGGTAAAGATGACTGGGAGACCAAAGGTTAAGAGAACAAGAGAAAAAAATGAGGAACTTAATAGGCAAGGACAATGGTCTCATTCAAGGAAAGGGAGGGTAATGACATGTAACAACTGTGGTGAACCTGGACACAATGCTAGAGGGTATACAAAGGTAATCAAAACCATAACTTTTCTATCCTTCTTTCTGTTTCAACACTAACCAAACTTACTGTCTACTACAGCATCTAAGAAGCAGCCATGAGAAGAAGAGGAAAGCAGACAAGAGGAAGAGACTTACTGTATGAAGCTGATGATGAACAGCCACGATCTCCCTCTCGTTGCACCAGGGCCAACAAGAAAGCC